TTCTCCCGGCGGGGTAACAAACTCTGGTCTGTTTCACATTCATGTGTGAGCCTGCTCGGTGGGCAGCGCCCTGGGGCTGCAGGAGACCTCGCTGTTTTGACAGTGCACACTGGGAGAGCTCAAAGGCCGGGGCTTGAAAGGAGCCCCGCGGCTGAGCAGACCGCTGCATTTCGTTCTCATTAAGAGCAGCTTGTTGCCCTCATTTCTAGCCAGAAATAGTTCCAGGCCGTCCTGTCACTGGCCGCTGCTGAGAAGCCCAAGCAGATCCTGAGGATACAGCAGCATGTGTCTATGTCCCAGCTGCGGCCACACCACACGCAGACAGTTGCAGCGGGGGCGAAGGCCTGGAGGACACTGTGGATAGCAGGTCCTTTACTCGTCTCCTGCACAGGTGCTACTAAAATTCCTAGTCCTCCCAAGCCTGCCAGAGCCCCTTAGCAAAGCAGCAGGCGTCTCTTCTGGTGCACAGAAAATGAGTTTTGTGGCCCGTTTACACACACATTTGGGGGCATCGATTAACTCAGCCCCTGCTGCCCAAGCCCCTGCTCATTTGCGTCAGGGGCCACAGACCCCGCACACTTCTGCCTTCGCGTCCCAGGCATGCCTTGGAACCAAGGATCCAAAAGCCAGAAATCTCAGAGGCCATCTAGCCAACCAGTTTCCTCCTGGGGTAAGAAATGAGGCCCAGGGAGGCTGCCCAGGGCCAGAGGCGGGGGGCCCACCCGACATCCTGGGACCGCAAGGTTAGTTTCTCAAAGCGGAGAACCCCAGCTCCGAGCACTGGAGAAAGGAGCCGGGAGAGGTGGCGCTCTTGGCCTCTGGACATGGGCTCTAGGCCCCGCGGTGTCCTGCCTGTAGGTGCTGTGGGCGCCTGGTAGCAGCGCGGCTCATGATGGAGACTGCGCACACCACAGAAGTCCTCGTCTCCAGAGGAAGTGGAGACCAGCGCCATTCCTGGGCCTTCAGGAAGAGCCAGAAATCAAAGCTTAGGCATCCTGGCAATATGTGATCGAGCCCAGGAAACCACCCAGAGACCCAGGTGACTCCGCAAGGTGGGATCACAGGACGCCTGTCGGGTCCCCCAGGCCCGTGCTGTGTCTGCCAGGTTCTGCTTTGTGCCCGTTGATATGAGGACGTCACGGTCATAAATGGAGGACACTTCTGTGTTCTGGTGCTGCCATGACTTATGGGGCCCTGGCGCTGGGCCACGTGGCTCCCTGGTCTACATCACCTACATTAGGGTGCAGCCACCCTAACAGAGCAGGTCCTCAGGAGCAAGTCCCTGAGGTCCTCGCCACCTGAAGAGCAGGAGAGGGACAGGCTGGGAAACTCCCATGTGGTACCAACACGCCTCCAGGCCTCGCCTGCAATGGTGCCTTGCTGTCACACCAAACACGCATGACACAGAGGCCGCCCTTCCAGAGAGGCCCCCACACGCCCGATCTTCATCTCCCCTAAGGTTTAGATTCAGCTTCTGGTTTACAGAAGAGTCTGCTGAAGGAGCAGACAAAGGACCAGATGGAAAGCCTCCCACAAGTCTGACAACAGCTACAGGACAGCGAACTTGGTCTCCTCAGAACTCTGCGTCAGTCGAGCGTGGGGGCGCCTGCCTCTATCTCAGCACCAAGCAAGGCTGAGGCGGGAAGGCTGTGAACGTGGATCCCACCTGGGCGACTTAGCAAGATCTGTCTCAAGATGAACAGGACAAGCTGGGGTGTGGAGCGCCACGGTAGAGCGTCCTGCAGTCTGATCCCCAGTTCTAGGGGAACGGAGGAAAAACACCAATGTGGGGGTGGGGATGGGGAGGCCAGAGTGGAGCTCAGTGGCGGTGCACACCCTGGTATGCAGGAGGGCTAAAATATGGTGGTATGATAGGAACTGAGGCAAGATAAAAATACATTTACGATTCATAAGCAAATGGGCCCCATTTGCCTTGATTTGCATAAAGCAGCAAAAAGGAACACATTTGAGACAACTAGAGAAATCCAAACAAAGGCTGCTAGGTCTGAGATGACACTGAGGAACTGCTGTTCTCAGTTGTGAGTGGCCCCGGGCTAGGGAGAAAGCGCTTTCTTTCTTCAGAGATCTACATGGAAATATCGAAGGGCACAGTGTGGCATGGTCTCCTTGTACCTCGCCACCCCTGAGCGCTGCATTCACCTTGAAACAAGCCAGGGTTCCTGCTGTACGGTTTTCATTTTGGAACCATTGTAAATGGTGCACAATTAGAAAGTGAAGTTATTAGGGGCCGGAGAGATGGCTCAGAGGATAAGCGCTTCCTGGCAAGTGCAAGGGCCTGAGTTCAATCCCCAGTTCCAAAAAAAAAAAAAAAAAAGAAAGAAAGTGAAGTTATGTGATTCTTATGTATACCTAAAATGTACCAATAAGTCTAATGGAAAAAAATAAAATGAAATAAAATTTAAACATTTCAAATGACTACAATCAAAAGTGGAGTAAGGGGCCAGGGAGATGGCTCAGTAGAAGAAGCGCTTCCCTGGCAAGTGCAAGGGCCTGAGTTCAATTCCCGGTTCCGCAAAAAAAAAATAAATAAATAAATAAATAAATAAATAAATAAATAAATAAATAAATTTTTTAAAAAGTGGAGTAAGGGTCAGGGATATAGTTCAGTGGCATAAGTGCATGCCTGGTAAGCACAAGGTCCTGAGTTCAATCCCCAAGACTTTCTTTCTTTACAGGTTTCGGTGGTGACGGGATGGAGCTCACGATCTCACACGTGCTTGGCGACGGCTCTGCCCTGGGTGGCAGCCTCAGTCCACACTCAGAGCGTCTTAGGTAAGAACATTATGGGAGACACGAGGACAGGTGCACGTGTAGAGGGTGTAATATGCAGACAAAGGCCTCTCATGGCCAGGGATGAGACCCCCCGCACCTCTAAAGGGTAGCTGCAACACATGGAGATAAAGTATGTAAAAGCACAGTGTGAATGATACTGAAAACTCAATACCTTGGGAGGCTCCCGGGGCAAAACTTGCTAATAGCTTTTCATCTGGATTTTCCATAAAGATATATAGATATAGATATAGATATGGTTTTTTTTTTCTTTGTGGTACCGGGGATTGAACTCAGGATCTTGTGCTTGCCAGGGATGCACTTATTCTACTGAGTCATCTCCCCAGCCCCTTAAAGCTGTATTTTAAGTTGATGGAATAACCTAATTTCAACTAACACATGAGAAGAAATAGAAATAAAAGACAACCATTTTTTTCTTCTCTCTTCTTTTTGGTCTGTCTTTTTTGAGACAGGTCTTATGATGTAGTTCAGACTGCCCTGGAACTCACTAGAAGGCCCAGGCTGACTCTGAACACACGGCTGTCCTCTTGCCTTGGTCTCTGAAGAGTGCTGGGGTTGCAGGTGTACCACCATACCTGGCTGAGAAGGACTACTTTTTCAGTCCCTACTTAAGGAAGGACAGTGAAATGGGTATTTATCATGGACGAGTCCACGGACAATCTGAACATCACAGAGAGACCCTCCAGGAACCCAACTCGTCACACAGCATCACTGATGAAGTATCACTGCCCAAAAGTGGGGATGAACCTGACCGAGCTTTTAGATTTAACTAATGATTAACAGAAAAATACAGACCACAGTGGGCTAGTTAAGCATCGCCACCAGGTGCCATCAGGCCCAGACAGTCGAAGAGCCTGGAGGATCATTCCTCACCAAGTGAATGGCCAGAAAGCAAAGACACCAAAGGACAACAGTTAATGACTGAACAACCGGGTGCAACTGTGGACCCAGGATGGACCCAACAGTTTTTAAAAAGCTATGAAAAAGAATTTATGCAGCCATCACTAAATTGCAATGTTAATAATTAGATGAATAATAAAAGAATTCTTTCTTTAGTGGCAGTTTCAGGGATCAAAGCCAGGGCCTCGCACATACTAACCATGTACTCTACCACTGAACTCTTCCTTCCCCTCCCCCAAGAGCTACTCATTCTTCTGGTGTGATAAGACTTACACGCTAGTAAATGACAAACAGGGAACTACTGCCTAGGATTTGCCTCCAATCAGCCAGCAGGGCAAGAGGGGAGGAGGAAAACAGGACTGCGCACATGTCGAGAATGGCACAAATGGGCGATCGATGGAGACACATACGCACTGTTCTTCCTTATTTCATGTGTGTTTATGAATATCCATAATAAAAAGCCTTTTTATTTTATTTATTTATTTTGGCAGAACCGGGAATTGAACTCAGGCCCTTGCGCTTGCCAGGGAAGCGCTTATTCCACTGAGCCATCTCCCCAGCCCAAAAGCTTTTTTAAAGGCTTAAGATTTTTTTAAAGAACTTAAACAATGATGGATACAAACATGTAGGACAAATGACTGTTGGCTACTAGGAGGACAAGATAGTAAGCGTCAAATTCTAAGAGATGGGAGGACCGGTGCTTGCACTCCCTGTAGTTCTGTTTGTAAATATTTACAGCAGTAAATAAATCCAAAAGCTCTTAGACCCAGCAACACTCAGAATGGGTCAGGAATAACAGGGTTCAAATATAGCTACCTAGTGCTGGCATCTACTGTAATGTCCTCAAAAATCCAAAGCAAATGACAAAAGTATATCCAGAAAGTTTAAATTCCAAGTACTAAATTACTGACAAAAGGCAACATAGGACCAGAGGTTAGAATTGCAGTCGACAACAGAGTGACAGTTAGTATACTTCCGACGTCGGGACCTCTTACATCCAGGGCTGGGGTGGCATCTTTTACCTTGACGCTCAGGAAGGTCCGGCTGGCACCATGTGCCCTAAAGCTTTAATGCCGTAAGCAAGAGGGGCAGGAGCAGGCATCCCAGGGAAACAGGGCACTTTCACGAGCTGGCGTTAGACGGCACGGCTATAAAGCGAGTCCAGGCACAGCAGCAGCGTGGCCGACACTCAGACGCATGAGGCGGCCTGTGACAGCAGCAGCCGTGGCCACGCCGCCCTCCTGGGGCCGGTGGGTGACGCCCCCCCTTAGACAGGGCTCCTTCCGTACCTGATGATGACACACTGGTTCTCCCTGTCGATGACCATGTTCCGGTACATGCTGTCGGCGAGGGCATAGATATGGGGCGGGTTTTCATACTGTGCCTAGAAAGAAACCAAACAGAGCTGGGATGAAATGGAGCAACACTCTGATTTCTTCTTGGCCTTGGCCAGGAAGGCTGCATGACACAGGACCACAAAACTCCCTCGCTGCTGCAGCTATGCCCTACAAGCGTTAAGAGGAACTCTGCGCTCTTGCTCTTTGCCACCACCATGAAAGGCTGTTTTCTGCTATGTGCTGCTCTGTGTTGGACCAGCTGAGTATGGACTGAAACATCCATTAACTGTGAGCTAAATAAACCTTTCCTTCTTTCAAAAAAAAAAAAAAAAAAAAAGGAACTCTGCAAGCTCTTCCACGCCCGCATGCGTGTGACGCCGCCCTCTGACCTGCGTCTCAGGTTCTCCACCCCACCCCACCCCAAGCGGGCCTCTGTGTCCACCTGGCATCAGACAGAAGACAGCACTACCAATCACTGCCTGAGGCTGGCTTCAACTAGAACGCCTGAGCTCCTAAGTAAACTCTGCTACGCCAGAAACTCACTGATCCTGGGATCTCAGAGGGAACTGAGAGGGTCTAGGGAGGAAGAGAAACACTTTTCTGGGAGAGGTAGGAGGTGTGCTTCTTTAGAGGGAAAACTGGTTTGACCAGCTTGTTACCTATCTATTGGGAAAATCGTACTGAGTAAAGGCAGTGAGTATCCTGGGTTTGTGACAGTGGCCTGGGACTACTTATCTATGCACAGAAAACTAAACTAGCTGGGCACAGTGGTACACGTCTGTCATTCCAGTACTTGGGAGGCTAAGACAGGAGGATCCCTGTGAATTCAAGGCCAGCCTGAACTACATAGCAAGAACTTGTCCCAGTAAACCAAAACCAAAGCCCTAAATGGTTCTCGATACCTAGTAAATTCTCTCAGAGTGGGCTCTGGCCCATTTTATGCGGTTTCTAGGCATCTACCTTCAATACTCCCTCAAAAATTACCAAAAAGAAAGACACTTCTGTGCTCGCATAGTTGGCAAAAGATGGCCTCTTAACTTCAAGGTCAACACGCCTAAGAGTGAGAGAGCAGCAGACCCCAGCGGGCAGCCGTCGAGACCCCATCTTTCCTGATCTCCGATCTCCCGGGGGGCAGTGCTGCCCAGGCCCGACCTCCCAGGTGACCCGGGGACGGGTGGCAGAGGCACAGGAAAGGAAAGTAACAGAGGGACAAGCATGGCTGGGCCCTCCTCGGAGTCTTCACAGGCTCAGAAAAAGGCGCCTGGCTGAGAAACTGCTTCTCAGTACCCGGCCTGCGGAGATCAGAGCTTGAGGGGGGACAGCGTGGTCAGAGGGAGGCGCCACCCAGGACAGCCCGGGGGTGCACTCAGGCCCAGAGGCTGGCTGCCCCTGACTTGGGCATGTGGGGGGCTTGGTCTAGGGTGGCTGTGCAGGCAGGGTTCCTCTTAAGCTGCCTGCAGAGGGGTTCAAAAGAGGAGGTGGAAAGTGGAAAGAGGCGCAGGAGAGGTGCGAGCGAGCACTGTTCAAAGAAGTTTGGAAGCAGCTGGACCACAGTCATGGCAGCCTGTGTGCTCCAGCCCATCCTCTCACATCCACTCCCACACTCAAGCATTTGGGGTCCTCTGGCCAACGACCTGGGCCGGGGGTGGGGAGGGGCATGTCCTCTGCTCTGTTCCTCCCTCCCAAGAGCCCCTGTACCATTAGGACCTGACATCAGCCCCCAGCTTGGTAGATCCTAGTACTTCATCTGTAGCCTCGAGTTTCCTCATCTGTGAAATGGGGGTGGAGTTCAACCAGCCAGCATGCGGCTGTGTTATTACTGTTGCAAACACACAGATGGCAAACAGTGCAAGACTCTACCTGCTGGACAATACTACTTCTACTTTGTTTGTTTGTTTTCAGACAGGGTTTTGCCATGCAGTGCAGGCTGGCCTTGAGCTAACTGCAATCTTCCTGCCTCAGCCTCCCCAGTGCTGGGATTACAGGTGTGTAATACCACACCCAGTGAACACTGTTATTTCTTAGCAGTAAAAATAAATATCTTTTCAAAAAAGTTCTGTGACATCGCCACAGCAAGAATCTGGGACAGACAAATGAGACCTAAAGGTGCCTCTGCAGCAGCTCCTACCAGAGACCGTGGAAGAACTGCTGTACCCCTACCCCATGCCCTGCACCTCGCTGTCCCCAGGATGCCCTGCAGCAGCTCCAAGGCTGCTGCCCCAGAGGCTGACATGGCCAGGTTGCTGGCAGTGCCCCCCTACACTGGGTTCCCATAAAGGTGGTAATGAATGAGTCTGTTTGCTTCATGCAGAGGGCAGGCAGTGGAGAGGACAGAGATGCAGAGATGAGGCAGAGGGAAGCCACACGCCCATGCATAAGGCCTGGGCTGCCCTTTGTTTATTTATTTAATGTATTTGGTACAGGGTCTCACTACCCAGCTCAGACTCATAGTGATCCTCCTGCCTCAGCCTCCCCAGTGCTGGGATTACAGGCGTGCGCCACCATACCCTGTCTCTGTGGCCGGCTCAGTGCACCTGGGGCTGGGCTGGCGCAGCACGGTCCCCGCGCTTGCCCACGCAGGTGCTGCTTAGCCTGCTGAGCTATCTTGCTGGCCCTTGGGCTGCCCTTTGGATCCCAGGACTCTGGGGCCGGGTGTGTGAGGGATCAGGGTCTGTTAATAAATGGAGGAGGAAGGATTGGCTCTGCATTGTCAAGTCCTGGCCGCAGCTTACCAAGGCTCCAGCTCTAAAAGACCTAACCCCACCGCCCTCCACTAGCTGTGTCTCACCCATTACTGCTCTTTACCCTCTGAATCTGTGGCACAGGGGGAAACAGAGGATCACCCCCAAGCCTCGGGCCCGTAGTTCCACGTCCATGAATATAAATCAGGCTCCAATAGGAGTCGATCCTGCGGTACTTCATCTATGCTCTCGGGAACAGCGCAGCAAACCAAACCGCGGCCTTTCCTGGAGCTTCCCCATTAAGTAATTCACAAGAAAATACAAATGTATCATCAGTGTCAAGAAAACCCATCAATGCTCCCTAAAAGCCCTCAGCACAGCAGTAATGCGCAGAGCACGTAACTTACCGCTCCCTGGTACATTTCAATCTCCTTCTCCCCAAAATACGGCATCTGCTTGAAAGGGTTGATGGAGATCAGCACGGACCCTATGTACGTCTGAAGGAGAACCAGTTAAGGGCCACCGCTCACCTTCAGAGACACGTTTTTCACGTTAAGTAACCAGATGCCATTGAGAACACTTGTTTTCTAAACAATTACGAAGACAGACAACAGCAGTTATCCTAGGAGCTCCGGGATCTAATTGCCAATGTTCGATCAAAAGAAATCGTTATTTTAAATAAATTAAGCTAGTGTCTGTCCAGACCAGTAACGTGGCGCCGAGAGGAGGTGCAGCATTGTGATTATTTTTGAGCACAGATGGGTGTGGGCAGGGCCGTAGCATCAAGCCATATATTTACATGCAAGGGCAAAAATGCTGTACGCTTTGACTGCGTCCCTGACGAGTGATGCCCCAAGCTGAAGATGAACTGGCAGAAGACAGGAGGGAGCAGGGTCACGGTCAGACTGTCCCCCAAAGCCTCCTGCAGGCTTTCAGAGGGGGCCGAGTCTGACGTTTGTACTGACTCATGGTCCGGGGCTGGGGATACGGTGTGAGGGCTGCACTGGCCCTGGGCTGCCTGCACACACACGGAGGGAAGAGGCTTGCTCCCTGCTGCTGCTCCTCTTTGTTCTTGCTGCTTTTGCTGTTTTCCGCTGCCATGAACAGTTGCCCTCTGCCATGTGCCACCCTGCCGTGGGGCCAGCCAAGGGTGAACTGAAACCTCCACAAACTGTGAGCTAAGTCAACCTTTCGCCCTCCAACTCTAGGCGTCAGATATGTTATCTCAGCAATGAGAGAGGCAGCGAAGGCAAGCAATTTAAGAGCACACCGGGTTCCCAGCTCTGGTCTGGTGGTGGCGGCTCTAAGGCATTTAGAGAAAATGTTGGTGAGACAGAATCGTAACGTAAGACCCCAGAGTTGAGGGAAAAGGTACCAGGGGTCTCAAGACTGGAAGGTGTATTTCTGGTTGCCAACGTCACATGAGATCAGTGGTAGTCTGGTGACCTCCTTTCTTTGAGGTACAATTTAACACAGATAAATGTACCATCGCTAAAATGACTCAGCAGATAAGGAATGTCCAGGACACGGTACCCAAGACTCAACAGATGGTGACAGAACAACCAAACATTTATATGGCGCCACATGCACACGACAACGTCACTCCTGTGGTGAACCCCACTTTACTAGGAAGACAGTGAAGCATAAAGAAATTCTAAGCCTTGCTCAATGGTACGAGCTTGTGAACTACAGGACCAGCTTCCAACCTCCGCAGGCTGGCTTCAGAGTCTATGCCAAAGCCTCGCCATGCAGTTTACACTGGCCTGGGACTCTTGGAGCTCAGGCTGGCCTCAAACTCAGCAATCCTCCTGCGCCAGCCCCATCCCAGTGCCAGTGTCTACGCTCCTCACTGAAAAGCAAGGACATCACTGGGTGTGGTGGCACACTCCTAATTCCAGCCCTTGAGAGGCGGAGGCAGGAGCACTGACACAAGTTCAAGGCCAGCCTGGGCTACACAGTGAGACCCTGTCTCCAAAAAAAAAAAAAAAAAAAAAAGCAATGACTTTTTACAACCAGCAGGTAGTTATTTACTGTTGTCAGACTTAGCGAATGAAGTAGAGAATATCTAGTTAAATTTGAGGGCCAAATGAACACTGACCTTGTAAGTGGAAAGAAACCAAAAAAGGAAGTGTACCTTCAGTCATACGTGGGACATACTCTACTAAGTCATTTTTTAAAAATGTATTTAGTCCAGGGTCTTTAGGGTCTCGCTACACAGATCAGACTCGTAGTGGTCCTCCTGTTTTCAGCCTCCCAAGCACTGGGATTACAGGTGCGTGCCACCACGCCCAGTCTCAATCACCATCTCAGGGAGCCCAGGGCCAGGGTCGTCACGGCACGCCAGGGACTGAACCCCGGTCTCTGTGCCTGCCAATCTGCTGAGCTATCTGGCTGGCCCTAAGCCATTTGTTGTTTATCTGAAATTCAAATGGACCCGGCACTCCCTGATTTCTGTAAAGTCTGAATTAGAAAGCCAGCACTGAATGCAGGGTCAAGGGGATTGGGCGACACAGCTCTGTGGCTTCTTCTAACTTGCTCTTTGGATTCACTGTGTATTAAAAAAACCCTGGCAAGCTGGCACAGGCCTGTTATCTCAGCACTCTGTGAGGCTAAGGCAGAAGGGCTGCAAGTTGAGCTCAGTGTGGGCCGTTTAGCGACACCTTGCCTCACAGTAACCTATGAAAGCAGGGTTGGGGACAGAGCTCAGTACCGAGGCCCCGAGTTGGACCCCAGTGCTACAGTGAAGGAAAAATCCATCTTCCTTAGTAGGCACTCTTTAGCATCCTCCCTACTTGGAGGGATCCTACTGAAAACAAATTAACATGATTTGTCTCGTTTGGATTCACATGCTAATTGAATCTAATGATTCTTGCGGTAAACCCAACCCAAGACACACAGGACCACCAGACCCATCCTACTTCAGAAGAGGAGGATCTCTATCCTTTTTTTAAAGTTTATTTATTGATACAGGGTCTCACTATGCAGCATGCAGCTTTGAGACAAGAGGTTGTCTCAGCCTCCCCAGCACTGGGATTACAGGTGTGCACCACTGCGGCCGGGGTTCTAGGGCTGGCACAGCATGCAGTACCGGGGATTGAACTCCGGTCCCTGAGCCTGCCAGACAGGAGCTTAGACCACCAAGCCACCTCCCCAGCCCCAAGGATCTCTATCCTTATGTACCTCCATCTATAGGTAAAACCAAACACGGGCAAACACAGTCCTCTGGAGAAGAGTACACCTCCCCGAGCCACGGAGGGACGCTGCTAGTGCTGCCTTGTCCTGCACAGAGTGGAGCGGCCCAGCACGTGAGCCAAAGCCACCCTGTCCCCAGCCCCTTCCTACCCACCAAGCAGTACCCTCTGAGCGACTGAGATACACGAATTCCAGGGGTATGAGCTCCAGAGGTAACCACTGTGCTCCTGAACTAATAACCTGCTCTGTCGAGAGAGTTCCAGCAATTCTCAGTCTTTCACTAGCTGACATAAATTCTGGTAATGACCTAACTAAGGAGGCACTCGGAGGTTAAACATCTCTTTCAGACTGCTCTAGGGTAATCCTGAATCAACAATCTGGATTAGAATACACAAAATGTAGCTGTTCCACCTGAATTTCCTGAGAGCTGTCAAGGGCAATACTGTTTAAGAGAACTGCTCAAAGAATTTGGTTTGAAGTGGACAATGAAGCCCAATTCCATGCCAAGTAGCTAAACCTAAACCAAAAGAACTCGGCAAAGGCAACCACGGATGTAAAGAACCCATATTCTAATCACTTCAGGCACACGCTGGCCTCACTGGGGTCTAAGCAGCTTCTGTCTTCAGCAGGACGGATGTGGGCGACCTCAGCTCGTGGAGGGCAGGGCCGGTGGAATCGGATGCCCCTTTCGGCTCCCTCCTGACGCTCCTGAATAAATCAGGGAGAGCACTGTCACCGCCCACACAGCCCATGGTGCTGAAGGCGTGGCCCTCAGGAAATTTTCAGAAAGTGCAGACACGAAGCTAAGCTACCAAGAAACCAGAAAACAATGCCATCTTATTTAATGAGCCGCCAAGCGACACTGGGGCCTGGGTCTTCAACCGACAGGCCCTCAGATGCCACTAGGGCTCGGTCTCCGAGTTTGCACTGATCCAGGGTAAGAACGATAAAAAGAAAACCTGCCCCGAGTTCTCGTGAGGCTCAGGTCGCTCCACACACGGCCCAGTCTTCGTTCTTGTATCATTTCTTCCTCACATGCTTACGGTTAAAAGTCTTTCTTTAAAGAACTGTGTAGGGGCCAGGGAGATGGCTCAGTAGGATAAGCGCTTGACTGGCGAACACAAGGATCTGAGTTCAATCCCTGGCTCCGCAAAAAAAAAAAAAAAAAAAAAAAAAAAGAACAAGAACTGTGTGATCAGGTTTTTTAATGGCCTCATTAGGAAAAACGCAGAACATTTTCATAATGGGCGAGTTCCCTGACATTGCCAACGCTGCCACACCGACCTCTCTGGCTCCGTGAGGTGGCAGGGAGGCCGACGTGCCTGAGTCACATGTGGGGAGGGGCTAAGCGGCTCGAGTCCTTGGCCCTGGCCCTGAGACCACCGCAGCCACCGCCACCACAAGGAGAGACCTTCGGGATAGCGACACACACAGCCCTGCACTCCCACCAGTCTGACAAGGAAGTCTGGGCTCCTAACCCGAGGATTAAAAATGCCAACTGCGTGTGGGCATGGCCTTTGAGGAAAAGCAAGCTCCAAGAAAGCTGGACCAAAGGAGCGCAGACAGTGCTGTGAGGAACTGTTCCCAGCAGCCAACTAAGGATAAACAGCTCAAAAACTCAGGGCCTTACTGGCCAGCAACGTCAGCATTCACAAGGCAGTTATTTTGTTTTTTAAAAATGTATTTGGTACAGGGTCTCACTTAGACTCGTAGTGATCCTCCTGTCTCAGCCTCCCCAGCGCTGGGATTACAGGCATGTGCTACCACGCCTGGTCTCAGTGGCTGGCTCCTCATGCACAGCTTGTGGCAGATTTTCTTTCTTTCTTTTTATGTATTTAGTACGTAGGGTCTACAGGGTCTCACTACACAGATTGGAGTCGTAGTGATCCTCCTGTTTTCAGCCTCCCAAGCATTGGGATTACAGGCGCACTCCACCACGCCCAGTCTCAATCGCAGTCTCAGCCCCAGGGGCCGGGCTGGCCAGAATGCTTGTGATTGAACCCGGTCCTCGTGTCCGCCAACCCGCTGAGCTATCTGGCCGGCCCATGGCAGATTTCTTAAGGCAGAACAAAGAGCTGCGTGTGCAGTCTTCTTGTACCGACAGGTGCTAGCTCCCGGTGCTGAACCTCGACACAAGGCGTGTGCTGGCGTGACGTGCAGGGGGTAACGTGAACGCTTTTATAACACTTCTTACTGCCTTCGTGAAGCATGGGGAAGGGGAAGCTCCTGCTTTTCATAATGCTGGCAGTCGCATTATGCTATTAACGTTGAAGTGGTTGTTAGTAGAGGAGATTCCCCAAACATTTAAAGGCTTATTTCAATAGCATCATGTAATACAGCAACCAGTGTTGAATTCCTATTACTTTGTTTAGTGAAATATTGTATTACTTCTAATGCTGTTCTTTATCACTATTTTGTATTCTTTAAAAATTAAAAAAAAATCTGAAAAAAGATTTACTTCATAAATGCCCCTCAGTGGCGCCGAGCACCCTCAGTGGTGACAGCTACTCTGGGCTACAGACAGAAATCACACTCACGCAGGCTTCCGAGACACTGATGGGTGAGGATTTCTAAGACAAGGTTGTCAGTGGCCGAGTCAGTCGCTTCCTTCATGGAGCACACCAGCGGCCGCTGCTGATCCAAAGGAGCATCAGCACGCTTGAGTCACTGAGAGCTCCCCTCGTCTGGATTTACGAAGCAAGTCCTCCAGGTGAACTGGTTGGCAGTGTTCACCTAGCACGACGCCTCACACCAAGCTCCACGCAGGAGTGTGTGCCACAGCCCCAGGGAGGCACACGGGTGTCTGCGTGTGGCAGGAGCGAGGGCTATGACCAAGGGCTTCCCAGGGATGGGCCTGGGAGTGGAGATCCCAGGTGACTTCAGTGTCCTGCTCATGCTTGGAACATCTCATTGAAATGAGCATGCATTGCTTTGAAGGGTTTTCTCAGGGTGCTCTCTGTGCACAAAATGCAGTCTATGTCTACAAGGAGATTTCTGTCTCAGGAGACAGTGTTTAAGGGGCTGCCTGAGGCCAGCTGAGCCGCAGACAGACAGACTGGGGACTGCTCACTTCATTTGTCTTCTCTTAGCCAGTTTATCAAAAACCATGTTTCTGTGTAAATAATGCCCTAAGAGCTACCCACGATCCAAGGACTTTATGGGCCTATGAGGCCTCCATTTAAAACCGTTTTGTGGTAAAATGCATTTTGAATTTACAATAAGCAACTTTACAATTACATTTTTGGAAGAAAACCCAGAAATAATGATTAGAACTTCTTAAACAATAACATGCTCTTCTGAACTCATCCCTCTGTCGCTCCCACTTCGTAGACCAGGCATCCAGGAACACAGACCGCAGGACGTCTGAGGGATACCACGCTCTTCCAGGTGACCCCTGCAGCCAGACACACACGCAGCCGCCCCCAGCCTGCCTGCTGCCGCCACCGCCAGGTCCCACGTGCAGCACGACTTCAACATCAGAGTGCTCGAAGCCTTCTGACAGTGGCAATCCAAAGCAAGCACATCTTCCTTTTTCCTCCGTCCTGCCCTCCCTCCCTCCCTCCCTCCCTCCTCCTTCCTTCCTTGCTCTCCCAAGGCTGGGGGCCACAGCCAGGGCCTCCTCCTGCACACCAAGAAAGCGCTCTACCACTGGGCTACACCTCTAGCTTAGGATACGTCAATGTTTTGGACAAGTCCAAGTAAACATAACTGTCTGCATACAGTTGAAGAAAACTCTGCGGGTGTCTACTGCAAGGTCAGTACATGTTTACCTGTAAAGGACCAGGAGGTTTTATTTTCAGGTGGTGCTTTGGGTTGAACCCAGGGCCTGTGTGTGCTGGCCGAGTGTCCACCGTGAGCTATACTCCCAGCCCAAGAGGGATCGCCGGGACCTCACGGGCACAGCGAGGTGTCAGCTCCTCAGCTCCCGTCAGGGCGAGCACCCTGGGCTCTAAGGGAGCCTCAGGGAGACAACGCAGGAGTACAGAAAGTTGTCAATTATGTGAACACACGAAATGATGCTACTATAATATAGTCTACAAATCCAAATAATTAGGGTTGTTTAGGCCTGAACTGCACAGTGAGTGGGGAAGTCACTTCGCAGCAAACAAGCAGGAGCGCAGTCTCGGGAAGCCCAGTCCAGGAGCTCGGGCAGCGCGGCCAGCAGCACCACTCAGCCGCCGCCCCTAAGGTGCCTGCGGGAGTCCCACTGCGAGTCTGGGCACCCCAGCGATCTGACCAGCCGTGCTGTGAACGCGGGGCACAGCCTGCGCGCAGGCCTCTTCCTCAAGGCTCTGGGCTAAAATCTGCAGCGCACACTCAATCAGCAGCGCTTTCACAGGGCACCCTTGACACGGACCCTCCTGAGCAGCAGCCATGCCGCTTTCCGCTAGGACGGCTGTCACTCAGGTCTACGCGGCACTAGGACTAACACCTGAGATAATCCCACCACTGTTTCTTCCCAGGGTTCCACCAAACAAAACCCCGGGAGCCCGCAGGGCCCTGTAGGCACACGCCACGGCTGTTTATAATGAAGCCAACACGTCTGAATCACATTTCCATTCTGTATGTTGAAGAGGCCCATAAAGAAATAGCATGTGGCAAGCTCAACTGAAACATGAAGAACAACCCAGGAATGGCAGGCATTTTCAATACTTTGCTTCTTGCATTTCCTGTGATAAGCATAAAGAAGCAGAAAACTGGACATTGGGTTTTTTAGGGGGGGGGGCACAGGTGACCTTTTATTAAACCTGTTAAGGCTGGTCTGAACTGTGCAGTCAGGAGGTCTGATCGTGGGGCTCCGCGTAGCTGAGCTACCCCGAGGCTTAGGCCGCAAGGCTGGGCAGCAGCACATCCAAAGGACGCCACTGTGGGAAAGCAGGCGCCCCGACCTCGCAAAGCGGTGGGGAAGCCATCCGGCACCGCCCGTGCCCTCACACAGCCTGACCCATGACCGAGAGTGCAGAGCCCCGCCCCCAGCAAGCATTCACGTCAATTCAGGCGTCCGGCGAGTTGGACACTACGCAGAAAGCCGAGCTCGGCTGGCCGTGGAAAGGCGCGTCACGGCAGGGTCCCGCGGAACCTGGGAAGGATACGAAGATGTAGTCGTCCATGTAGCGCTTCTTCAGGTTCTCCACAATGGAGCTCTCGGAGATCTTGGACAGCAGCACCATGTCATCCACGCCGCTGTGCTTGACGTTGTGACTCTGCCAGTGATAGCGGTAGGCACCTTTGCTCCCCTGGGGACAAAACCACACGACCATTAGGACACCATGACCTCCAGCAGAAACCCCTGTCGTGTCCCCCCCACCCCCAGGTGAGATGCAGAGTCCAGCCTTGCTAACCGCAGACAAGTGGGGATGATGCCCCGGCGCGGCTGAGGTTTCTCGTTCCTCCTTCATAAAATGAGGGGGCAAGACTTGCTTCAGAGTTGCTGTGGGGATCACATAAAACAGCAAACATGTGCCAAGTGCCCAGCAGCAGAGGAACACACAGCACAGCCTCCGATGCCTCCTAGAACCTCACCGCTCAGCCGAGTTCACCGGGGAAAGTCAGCGCAGAGACGGACACCAGAGCCAGGCCCGTTCTGCAGATTTGGAGACCGCACCCGGCCAGGGTGAGGTCACACCACCATGACCTCTCAAGTCATCCTGAGGATTTTCCATTCACAGATTTGTCCCTGACAACATTCCCAAGATGCACTGCTGGCTGTGGGACAGCTGTGTGAACAGGAAGTGGATGAGAGGCTCAGGGCGACAGGACAGCACCTTAACTCTGGTTTGCTGGGCGGAGGAGTCCTTGGCCCTGGGCTGCTTTGGGAACTCCAGCTTTACCGGTGCTCCTGGACTCAGCAGGCTGTGGGGTGTCTCTGGAGTGGTGTCCCTGGGTATCCCAGGGCTGTGGCGCAGGGAGTGCCCCAAGGGGCTGCACCTGGGCAGTCGTCATGTACTGAGGGACGCCTGGATTATGAGGGTTGGTGACCCACATGTCAGTGACAGGTGATGTGAAACACACAAAGCACCTTCAGGCTGGGGGGCTGCAGTGACTTGCTGTAGAAAGAAGCATGTCAAGCAAATCTTAAGTGTACTGAGTATGTCAGGCAGGCCAGAGAAAGGAGGGCACTCCTTGTGATCCACACTCGCTGGAGTGAAGAAAGCTAACTCTAGTGATACAAGTGACATCGGTAAATAGGTGGCCCGATGCGAGAACACAGTCCCTCACATGTCCTGGAAGGACCATGCACTGAACCCAGGGAGACAGGGCACTAGGCCTCCTGGGGACCCACTGACTGCCGAGCTGTCTGGGCACAGGAAACTTCCTGGTAAGGGCAGCCAGAAAGGCCGCCAAAACCAGGTCGAGGAAAGGGACTGGGGAGTCCCTGAGAGGAGGAGGAAGTAGAAACAAGATAGAAGCCCCATGCCATTCCATTTTTTAAAAGAATTGTGGAATTGTTCAGTTCTTTACTAAGTCAAATTCTAAGGGGCTCTTGAGAAAGTAGTCTTAAAAAATCAACCAGGGAAGGGGCTGCCAAAGGAGAACTCAACCAGTGCTGCGCTCATGCCATGGAAGGTTCTAGAAGGCCTGCTGCCATGGTGTCTAGGAGAGGGAGACTGCCTATAAGACACAGCTGGCTTTCTCAGAACCATGCACAGCATCACTTCCACAAATTACCTCAGTCCCCTTCTTCCCCCTCTTGTTCCTCTTGTGGCAAAGCAGAAGATACAAAAGGCCCTGGCCACTGTGCAACTCACTGGGTTCCACCAAATGCCCACAGCCCACTCACGCCACGCAGTCCTGGTAAGCCCCGCGCCTCCGCCCCAGGTCCCAGACAACTGTGAAAGTTACTGGGCACAGAAAACAAACGTCCCGCAGCAAGCAACCTGTGGGGTGCTGGGTTTAACCTCTGCAGATGCCCCTCTACTCAACAAAGGCCCCAAACACTGCATTTTCTCTTTGGAAAATACAAGCTCAGTTAGCTACAAATAAATGGTTACCTAGCGTCTACGAAGGACAAGAAATAAACTGTAATCTCAGCTACCCAGAAGGCTGAGGCAGTAGAATGGCAGGTTTGATCTAGCCCAGCCTGGACAGCCTAGCAAGATCCTGTCTGAAAAAAGAAAAAGTGAGAGAGAGGTAGCTGAGTGGTAGCATACCCCTGGGTTCAATCTCTAATAATGGGGAAAAATAATGAGGGAAATAGGAGGAGGAGGAAGATGAGGCAGAACAGAAATGAGTGCTCTGTTGGTCAACACAGCCTCTTCTCCACTTGGCAGGGACACAGTCCCGTCTGGCCATCTCAGAGGTTGTGTTCCCATCCTCAGGGTGGTCACTTCCCAGAGGACCAGGGTTCCCTGTGGCCTGTGGGTTACCACGGTGCCAAGGTCACTGGACAGAGAAGATCCCACCCAGCTCTGGGGTCTTCTCCGCTCATCCTCCAGCCTTCCCCCAGAGTAGGGTGCTATCAGCTGGACCTACAGTTCCTTTGCTCTTCAATGGTGTGATAGGATCCATTCAGGAGGACGCGTACCTCCCATGCTGCCCTCCTCCTGGGCGCCACATGCAGCCCATGTGCTGGAGGTGCAGGCGTCCATGGCTCCTGCTCAATCCATGGTCACGAGGGCAAGCAGCCCACCTTTCTGTGTACCAGCTGCCAGGCTGAGCAGACCCTGGTGAGAGGTATTACCGCACCTCCAATGTATGACATTTTCGAGTAACACTGGGTGGAGTGGAAGTCAGGGCAAATCACACACAGCAATGAGCTCTTCAATTGTGGAGGCTGAACCAACTGTTACTCCAAGGTAGACACTTCCATGCCACACCGGAAGAGACTCAGACCTCCCGACCAGCCTCCTTCCCTGAAGAATAAGACTCAGCTGGAGCCCAGCCTCAGGAACCCGAGCTCAGCCGTGCGGGCCCGTTGGTCCCTCCTTGCCCGGTGCAGTCTTCCTCTCCTCGGCAAGCAGCATTTCGACCATGAACCTACTCGGCCTTATGGGGAGTCTCCAGTTTTCCAGTGAGAAAACTGCAAAGTGCCTCACTCTGTGCTTCTCTGTCCCCTTCCCTTTCCCAAAAAAACACCAGAAGGAGAAGGAGTGGGAGGCCAGTGACAGCCTGGACAGTCCCAACTAGGCCAGGCCAAGCCTTCAGAACTGAGCAGAGAAGTTCTGGGGTTAAAAGGGCAAGGAAGCTTCTGGAAACCTGAAGGGACCCGCAGGCTCTTGTCCCAGCCAGGACAGCCTGCAGGCCCAAGCTGAAACCCAAAGCTGCTCTCTACAGTGCGACAGCAGCTCCCGTCTTCTCCAGAGGGCTCCCTTGCATTAGAGCCGCTGAGTCAGGGGTGAGCGGGGAGCACGGGAAACAGCCACCCTCGGGAGCCCCCCGAGTTCACCGCGCCCAGCCCCAAGCCCTGGAAACGGGCTGGACACTGTTTAGGGATGCACACTGCCTCAGAAATGTGAGAATGAGTGTGCCGGTTCCACTTCCGGTTCTGGTTCCAGGGAAAATAACCCTGACCATGGTTTCTCCCTCCCACTCCTACATGAGAAGCAGAAGTGGGGATGCTTCCACCCATGGAAACTTCCACGTAGCGTCATCTGTCCGACTGCCTCGGAAAGAGCCACTTCTGGCTCCTGTGGGCTTCTTTTTTTGGTAACTCCTCTTGACCTCTACTAAAAATGACAACTTTAATCAAGTAGGTACTCAGCAAGGTGCTGCTCGCTCCACCCTGCTGCAGCCATGCAGGAGCCTGGCTGCTGCACGGGCCAGCTGAGAAATGAGCACAGTAAGACCGTGACCCCGAAGTGCCGGAGTGCAGCCCTGCACCCCTCACAAAACCCGAGGGAGAAACCTCCCATTAGACAGAGGACTTGCGCACAGGCTTCTTGGGTCTACATGAAGTTTGTGGTGGTGACAATTCAGTTTCCTAAATGGGACAGCCAGGAGGAGCAGAGGGTGGAGGCTAGCCTGGGCTATGACCCTGTCTCAAACAAGAAAAAGGGCTGGGTTGTAGGTCAGCGGGTAGAGCTCCCACCTGGCACGTGCAAGGTCCCGAGTTCAATCCCCAGTACCACCAGGGCAGAGGAAAAGCAGTGATGCGTGTTTGAGGTCTAGCGCGTGGAGCAGGGCCCCAGCCACACCGCGGCTTTGCTGCTCACGCTGGATGCTGGCGCCCAGGGACCAGAGGCCTAGAGCCCCCTCCCGCCCGGCGGGAAGCTCAGCTGCTGATTCTGACACGTTTAAAGGTGTAGCCTGTGAACTGGAGTGTGTTCACCATCGCTGGGACCAGGAAGAGCAGCGGTGAATCAGCGCCCAGGGGCAGCACTCCTTTGTCCCAGTGCTGTGCCCTGGCCAGGACCCCAGCCTGCCGAAGCCCTACAGGTCACAGGGGTGGGGAGCTCCTCAGCAGTCACTGTTGCACTCACAGAGGGGAGAGGGGGTCCCTGCATGCTGGTGGCTGCCCTCCATAGCCCCACAGCATGGCTATCACATGCACCGTCCAACAGCTCCAGTGCTGGGAGGGCCCCGCAAGCACTACAAGCGCTTTTTATTTCTAGGCAGTATTTTTAGGAAGCCATTTAGAATTAGGCTTCAAATTTTTTGTATGTGTGCCAGAAATCAAACTTAGGGCTTTGCATTTGCCAGGCAGGTGCTTGGGCCTCTGAGCTATCTCCCTGGCCCGAGGCTTCAACATTTTAATCACACAGATCAGCATCCAAGCGTGGATAACTAAGTAAAAGTAAAATCCATATCCTATCTTACCTGGCACGTGCATTTTTAAGACTTTACCGTGAGACACACCTGGCAGCTTGGCAAGCTGCATGCACGAGATGGAACCGGTCAGAACATGACAACTAAAAGCCAGCACCGTGCCCCGCAAGGGAGGGGGACACAAGCTGTTCGGGAAGCGAGCTCCCCTGCGGCAGGAAGAAAGCAAGCCATCTGCGGGCTAAGCACAGAACTGCACTGGCAGACAGCTGTTAAAAAGGTACGTGCGCCAGTCAACTTTTTATCCCTGTGACAAAAATGCCAGAGAAAAACACCCTACAGGAGGAAGATTTTCCTCAGCTTGCGCTTTCAGGAGTTTCAGCCCTCGGTTACTGGTGGGTCTAAGACAAGGTTGAACAGTGGGACACTGTGAAAGCCCCGACCAGCCTGTTCCCACCTCATGGCAGCCACCGAGCAAGGAAGCGTGATGGCAGGTCACACGAGGACGGGCAGCGTGGGGCTGGCGCTTTTGATC